AGGAAGAGAGAGAGAGAGAGAGAGCAAGAGAGAAGGAAGAGAGCGAGAGAGAGAGAGAAAAAGAGAAGAGAGCGAGGAAGAGAGAGAGAAGAAAAGATAGAGAGAGCAAGAAAGGAGGAAGAGAGCGAGAGAGAGAGAGAGAAAGAGAAGAAGAGAGCGAGGAAAAGAGAGAGAAGAAAAGATAGAGAGCAAGAGAGAAGGAAGAGAGCGAGAGAGAAGAAAATATAGAGAGAGCAAGAGAAAAGGAAGAAAGCGAGAGAGAAGAAAATATAGAGAGAGCAAGAGAGAAGGAAGAGAGCGAGAGAGAGAGAAAGAGAAGAAGAGAGCGAGGAAGAGAGAGAGAAGAAAAGATAGAAAGAGCGAGAGAGAGAGAGAAAAGAGAGAGAAAAAAAGATAGAAGAAAAAAAGAATCAGAATAGAAGACAGGAAGCGCGGTGGGGGCAAGTCACGAATATTAGTGAGTCCCCAGCGCCATCGTACGCGACGGGTTCGTGCCCGTCGACGACATGGCCGGATTAGTTCATTAGCTGTACGTTATACTAATCGTGTTTACGCTTCGTCTGATCGATGTGCGGTGAACGGAGGGTGATTATCTACTCTCGACTAGCTTCCTGCGGAGACACGTGAGAAATCACGAGAACGATGAAAATCCGGTTGGCACGTTTCGGAAATGGAGTTCTTCGAAGGATATGGATGCGATACGGTATCGATAGTTTCAATATCGATACAGCAAGTTCTCTCCAATTGTTCCTCAGCTTGTATACAAAAATGGACAATTTTTGATGAGAAGAGATTCCGATTATTCGATTCTTACGGTTCGCTTTTGTAGTCGTCGATTATAATCGTTTCTCCTGTTCTCAAATTGTCCATTTTTGTCTACAAGCTGACGTGACGGACAATTGGAGAGAATTTACTGAATTTTGCATCGATATTTAATATAATCATCGAAATCCCTTTGTTAGAAATAACGTCGACTGGAATAAGTCTATCTATGTTTAATAATTGTGCTTATTATTTCATAATTATATTATTTATTTCATTACTGTTAGGCTACATAATTTTTACCTATATTTAACTCGCATACAAATTTTAACTGAATGACGAATATGTATAATAATAATAATAATAATAATAATAATAATAGTATGTAGGATTTTGTAAAATCGTACAAGAAAAAATTTGGTAACTCTTGGCTCTGAGAGCTCCTGGATTTCTCGAAATTATTGCACTAATACCACGCACAAATGAGAATTATCCGAATATCAATAGAGGCTATAAAATACGATAAATCTACGATAAACAATAACGAGGAGAGCGTAAAATCCTTAATGACTTTTTCAACCGAAAAACGCGAGAGTCGGCGCGGTCGACGAGATGGCCGTGTATCATGCATCAAAATGGCGGATGATACCACTGTTGTGTGCAAAGATTAAACAGCAACCTTCGGACCGACACTCGGAACAGGTATAAACCGAGTGTAATCCCGGCGGGCGTACAAACACGCGAGAATTATAATAAAAGAGCACATAGTAGACAAAGGATGAGGGATCCGCGTTTTGATAATCACTCTTATCGGAGATATGCTTTTTAGCTGGAAGTATAGAAGAAGAAGAAGTAGAAGAAGAAGAAGTTACAAACTGCCGACGCTATATTCTTATCTTATCTTTGCGGTGGAGATGATGGCGAAGTGGTTGTTATATACGAGTAGTTTTCATGGAAGAGCATTAGCGGCGTTATTAGCGCTAGTTAGAGGATACGCTTTGGTGAGAGATGAGAGTGCTATATAATTATTCGTGTCTTCCCTCCCCAGTCTACGCGGACGAGGACAACATGTTTACGTGGCGCCGACCAAAGAAGCCAATGACTATGTTCCGCCATCTAGGACACAGTGGATGGGTGTGAGAGCGTGTTCCGACATACGATTTTAACAAAGCCCTGTTAATTTATAATAATGACGCGCCGAGGTTTGCTTCGAACGTTATAATAACAGCTGTTACTTTTTCGTTATCATCGTACACGCGCTTGATATTTATGTAACACGCGTTAGCGCCAGAAAAAAACAGCGAAATCGCGTTGCGCGTCTTTTATTTTGCAATCGCGGAAACGATAAAAGTACCTGAGGAAACTTTGTGGGAAATTATTAAGCAGATTCTTCGTACAATATAAGTCGCGCCCAAACTTAACGAATGTGCTCCAACAATTGAGCCGTTTATTTTCAAAGTGGCATAAGTCACTTTCTTTTTGAATGAAAAGATACCGTTCAGTTGTAATTAGTGTTACCATTAACTCGATCTTTTNATAGAAGAAGAAGAAGTAGAAGAAGAAGAAGTTACAAACTGCCGACGCTATATTCTTATCTTATCTTTGCGGTGGAGATGATGGCGAAGTGGTTGTTATATACGAGTAGTTTTCATGGAAGAGCATTAGCGGCGTTATTAGCGCTAGTTAGAGGATACGCTTTGGTGAGAGATGAGAGTGCTATATAATTATTCGTGTCTTCCCTCCCCAGTCTACGCGGACGAGGACAACATGTTTACGTGGCGCCGACCAAAGAAGCCAATGACTATGTTCCGCCATCTAGGACACAGTGGATGGGTGTGAGAGCGTGTTCCGACATACGATTTTAACAAAGCCCTGTTAATTTATAATAATGACGCGCCGAGGTTTGCTTCGAACGTTATAATAACAGCTGTTACTTTTTCGTTATCATCGTACACGCGCTTGATATTTATGTAACACGCGTTAGCGCCAGAAAAAAACAGCGAAATCGCGTTGCGCGTCTTTTATTTTGCAATCGCGGAAACGATAAAAGTACCTGAGGAAACTTTGTGGGAAATTATTAAGCAGATTCTTCGTACAATATAAGTCGCGCCCAAACTTAACGAATGTGCTCCAACAATTGAGCCGTTTATTTTCAAAGTGGCATAAGTCACTTTCTTTTTGAATGAAAAGATACCGTTCAGTTGTAATTAGTGTTACCATTAACTCGATCTTTTTGAAAAAGTGACTTATGCCACTTTCAAAATAAACGGCTCAATTGTCGAAATAACAAGTAAAGAAAATTTGGACGACTTCCCTGATTCGGAACGATTCGAAATTATTACCGTCCGCGTCTTAAGTTGCAGCTCGGTTCTTGCTTCTTTCTTTCTTTTTTCCGTTTCGTCGGCGAATTTATAATTGTCAACCGCGAAAATCGTTCGTCGCGCACCCTTCGTTTCGTCCGCGTCGAAATAAAGGATGAAATTCGAACGCGGTTAACGTCCGTAAAAAAGAAGCGGATCGTGAATTGCCGTTTAAAATGACGGATCAAATTAACTTACCTAATAACGCGCCGTTCCCGTGATCAATACGAATATTATGTAAATCAAGTTGTCCGCGTCGCACGTGTACGCGGCGCAATCATATAATTCGGTGAATAGTAATGAAGGGAAGTAACACTCGAATTTCCATGAAACAATTGATATGCGTTTCGATGCAGCATGAACCTATCCGCGTCTGCGGTCCATATACGACTGCCATTACCGCCACAATCTATTCCAGCCGAATTTATTAATCGTTACAATATGCATTCGAGCCCGCAAGTTACGCGCGCATTTAAAATGCATCTGCGGTAGATTTATTCCGCAGACAATTTCCACGGGCGCACGATGTTTAATTGAAGCATCGCGGATAATCTAATTTTCACTTTTCTTTGACCTTTCGACCTGTCGCGAATCGACGGACGCGCGTCAGCTTTCGCAAATATGTTCGAATCAAATAGAAATGTTTTTCTCGCAAGGTTTATTCGGATCGTTCGCACGGAAACGCATCGTTCAATGTCAGTTTAACGCCTACCTCTTCACTTTTCCTCCAATCGCATTTCTCCGGCAAGGAAAGCTTCCTGATAGGCTGACAAGAGGACAAATTAAGTCACTCGAGACTGAATATATTTAATATTATTATAATTAATATAATTATTATAATTATAATAATATTATAATATTTTTAATCATAATAACATTTATTATTTACTATGATATATAATAATATTTATATTATTATAATGATAATGAAATGAAATAGCGTATAACACCGTTGAAATAACGTTATTTGAAGTATCATTTTAAATAATATCTTATTTAATTTTATAATTATTTCAAACAATTATTAATATGATAATTGTGGAACGTTTCGTGGAAAGTAATAGCAAAATTAAAGGAAAGCATTTTAGTCGTTGTTTAGTATACTACCCTGTCATCTAAAAAAGATCCAAGTGATTTAGTGTAATTTTTAAAATATTACTGCGTTTCAAAAATCTGTGCGAATACTTTTTCTTCATCCACTGTCTACAGTTTTAGCATGGGCAATAAAGCTTAATGGTCTCTGAAACTTAGTTTGTGCAGATAACGTGACTCATTTTTCCAAAGTGAACGCTCCGGGATCCTTCTACTTTTTTTCACACATAGCTACGATTATCCAACGAAATTGCGTTTACAACAACGTTGTAATATGAAAGTACCCTATACAGCAGTCGTAAAACCAAAAACCTCCTCGTCCGAATGATAAATATCGCTCAAGGCCAAATGATAAATATCGCTCAAGGTCGAATTTTTGAGTTCTACTGCTTAATTACCAGTACCCACATTCGTTCATGGCCGACAATCGGAAGACTTGCTGGGCTATTTAGCACACTTCCGATGTTTACTGTTGTGGCGAGGAAGATGGCAGACGAACCTTTCATAATTCATACCTGCGCGAGATTTCACTGCGAGAAGTATTTTATGGGAACCCTCAGACCTATCGGGTCCTTCTCCTGGTGAAAGTACCGTCGTAAACGTCAAAGCACAATAGCTGCCCCAGATTATGGTCGTATTACCTGGTCTAATTATTGCCTTTTTTCGTCAATGACTTGCTCGATTATTTTAATTTTATATTTACGAATGCGACGTTATGGAACGAATACGCAAAAAGTTTTTTTAGATTGCAGTTGATCGGGATGATAAGAAAGTTAAAAAAACGAGTTTTCTGCCATTCCATGTAATAGCAAAATTAAAGGAAAGCATTTTAGACATTGTTATACTAGTCCCTCTCTCATCTAAAAACAATTTCAAGTCACTTGGCGTAGTTTTAAAAAAGTTGTCGCGTTTCAAAAGGTATGTTTTCTTTACCCCCTATACACGAGATCAACAGATAAAATTGATCTATTGTGATTAACATTTTATCTGTTGATCCTGATTTTTAATCCTTTATTCCAATAGTCTATTTCCGATTTATTTTCTTTCTATCGTGTTATTATTATAGCTAAGAATAAAATATCGTGGATGCGTTTATCTAGATTTGACATGAAACGAGCTAAATGTTTATAGTTGAATTCTATGCGCAAATAAGTCGGTGTTTCAAATTATTTTTTAGAAATTCATTCTCTTTTTTTATTCTTAAAATTGATCTATTGTGATTAACATTTTAAGAATAAATATCGTTTCATGTTGAATCCAGATAAACGCATCCACGATATTTTATTCTTAGCCATAATAATAACACGATAAAAAGAAAATAAATCGGAAATAGACTATTCGAATAAAGGATTAAAAATCAGGTTTATCATGTGTGACAACCCAACGAGAAGAGAATAGAAGAAACGAAGAAAAGGAATCTGCGGAAAGGGGCGGAGAGGGGAATGCGACTCACGGTTGGGCAGGTTGAAGTAGGAGTTGCAGGGGCACCCTCGCACAAGTTGACACGTGGTTGGTCGGGTCGCTTGCACTCGGCAAAAGTGTCGGTGCAGCGCGTACCGACAGCGACCACCGTGTCTCGAACATCACCGACTCCATTGCCGTCGTCGCCGACACCGCTGCGTCGCCTTCAGCTCTTCCGCTCGTATTGGTTAGTCCCCGCTGGCTCTTCGTGTTCGTCCTTTTTCCTGCCACACAATCACACCGCGAATGCAGTATCAGAATAGAATCTTTTCTGTGCGAGTTTTCGCGCACCTCGACTTAAATATTTGTTCTCGGACAGTGCTTAACTCTCTTTTGCGTATTCGGGTCATTTTCGACCCGATTATGTATTTTGTTTATTTAATATTTCTATTTTGTTACAACGAAACCCGAGAACGACGCCTCTTCGGTTCTTCGGGATACGAACATCCTCTGCATAGAGACATTTAAGTTTTATTTTATTTTCTTGTCTGACTTTAAAATTATATACAACAAATATAACAAATGGTTGAAATAAATATTGTACTTGGACTGTGCAGTTAAATTGATAATAATTAGTTTCCTGTAATCGATAACAATTCTTGGTTTAAATAAAGAATTTCTCATCTTTGTTATTGTGGACAATTTTCAATTTTCTATCACGTCGAAAATATTTGTAATATTTATTTATATTATACTTACTATTATTATAATAATAATAATAATTATTATTATTACTATTATTATTACTTATTACTATTATACTTATAACTATTTTCATTTCTAT